TGAAGGCTAATCAGGTTTTGGGTGTACTATTCCTTTAAGAGAGATTGTAGCTTATCTTATATAGAGAAGACAACTTTGCTCAACAGTTGGAAAGTTTGGTTTGGGTGGGGGTGGACTTGAAAAAGTTCTTGCAAACCAAAGTTGGGTTGACGCCTAGAAATGTATTGTATCTTTCAACCTTGGTGCCCAAGACACACTGCCCTGCATGTTTTAGATGTTTCTCTGCTTTAAAACACCTGATTCAGATCACTGCAGTTCAAAAAAGCCTGTTAATCTGCTATCAATTGATATCAACCCTACTCTAAGCAATGTCCCTCACCTCTCCCCAGATGCCTACGGTGTCCCGAATGTCATTCTTGCAGTAGGACAGTTGTCGGATGCAGTTGTTGACGGCGACACTGCTCTTCCCAGGAGCAAGGTCCTCCTCGGCCATCTCTACCCAACCCAGAGAGCGCACTGCAAAACACTGCACACAAATTGGACAAAGAGTGAGTTAACATGTTGCTTTTATTTACAGCAGTGGTTTGCAGACTTTCTCAACTCTGACAGCCATCTTAAAATAGCAGTAAACCACAAAAGGACTCAGACTTGATGTGTGTCATCAAATCAAAGAAAGAAGCCACAGAGACACATCCTTAGTTTTGACTCCTTGTTTCAATATCCAGTCTGACTAAGTTAGGTATGCCCAACAGAATTAGGTTCCCCTTTATCAGTAGTGCAACATCCTGCAAGGAAGGTGGATCTTTTCGGTTAAATAATTTCCTCCTTTTACATTGTTATGCTACAATAGTTCCTGTTTCGTTTTCTACCTACTTCTCGATCAGATACAAATTTAATCCAGATCTTACAGAGTTAAGGATTACATTGGCAGTTGCTTTATTCATGACATCAGGGATCAGTTTTATATGGTAACTTCACTTACCATTAACTCAGCCTAGCCTTACACTAGAGTAAAAACAAGTAAATATAATAAAATATATAAAATAAAATACACAAAACAATAAAATACAGGCAGCTTGTTTTGCCAGCCAAACCAACCATACACGCCAATATTCACGTCCAGACTGGATCCCTGTCTTTGACTCCATAAAAGGCAGCCAGCAACTTGGGTCCCATGAATGACGACCAGCTGACATTTAAAGATCATGTTACCTCTGTTTCTCGACCTTATCGCTTCACACTACTAAACATAACAAAGATCCGGCCATACCCAACAAAACATGCTACCCAGCTCCTTGTACAGTCTATGGTTATCTTCTGCCTTGACTAATGTAACACACTCCTTACTGCTCTCCCAGCCTGTACAGTAAAACCGTTACAAATGATCCAGGACGCGGCGGCGTGTCTCGTCTTCAATCAGCCCAAAAAGTCTCATGTCACCGCTCTGTTCATTGAGCTCCACTGGTTACCCCTGGATGCCCACATCAAATTCAAATTGGGGGAGTGGTGGCCTAGGGGTTAGAGCATAGAGCTTGGAATCCTGAGGTTCTGAATTCGAGCCCCACTCCCACAGACTGCCACTCTCGGTCTCTAAGCAAGACCCTTAAGCCCACACTGCTCCCCGGGTGCTGCACAATGGCAGCCCACTGCTCCCCAAGGGGATGGTTTAAATGCAGAGGGTTCATGTTGTTGATCTGTACTTGTGACAGTGTAATGACAATAAAAGCTTGAAAAGTCCCTGGTGCTAGCCCACAAAGTGCTTTAAGGCTCCCGTCTACTTGAACCATCTAGCAAAGGCTTTATATCATAACTCGGTCACTCCAGTCATAAATGGATTGTCGTCTTGCAGTGCCTAACCACACTTCAGACAATCCAGAGTGTTTTCATAGGTTGTTCCAAGCTGTTGGAATGACCTACCAAGCACTAAAAGGACAGCAGCATCCCAGTCTATCTTTAGGAAACTCCTAAAGAACATCCTCTTCCAACAGCATCTTCCATCCTAACTCTTAACCATAGCTCTGTACCCTCTATAGCAGGGGTCTTCAACAATTTCCTGGCCAAGGACCCCCAAACTGATGGCGAGACGGAGCAGGGACCCCCTAATTATATATAATGTGGTCCTATAGTCACTCTATTACAGATGGAGTAATGTAACTAAAGTAATCCCTCCCTGGGATTATTAAAGTATTTCTGATTCCCGGTTGATGGGACAGGTGTTGTGAATGAAACGGTGCCCAGCTTGAAAGAGCTCCTGTGTGTCCATTGATCATGGGCGGTTCTAGACTGGGGCCAACGGGGGCCAGTGTCTCTGTAGATCATGTCCTGGTCCCTGTACTTTTTTTCAAAACAAATTGCTCTAATTTTTACGGCTGAATTTATCCATCTTTCTTGAGTTCTAATTCAGATTTTATAGAAAAAGGTAATTCGAACTTAAATTAAGTCAAAAATATGTAAAATTCCTAAATTCTGAATGTATATTAAGACATAGAATTTCAATTAAATCTAATTGAATAGAAATGTTACTTTATGCAGCTCTTTTAATATATACCTTGCTTTTTTTTATTTCATGCTTTTCTGTTACACCATGAAAACACGCTGGCCCCCTGCTGGCATCCTGGTACATTTGGTCTAGAACCGCCCCTGGCATTGATGACTGAAAGACATCTTCTGCCTCCATTTATCTGTTTACTAAATTCATGTTAATGTGGATTTAAAGACATTTCAATTAGTGGAAAAAATTGCAGGGGAGAATATAATAAATAGTTTAATCAACCAAAACTTTCGTGACCCTCATGCGGTACCTCTGTGGACCCCCTAGGGGTCACGGACCACCTGTTGAAGACCTCTGCTCTAAAGCCTTTCTGTACATTCCTCTATCTCTTTGCTGTCACCGATGATTCTGACTAGGGATTTTCCTCTATAGAACTTATTGTCATATAGATGATAACTGTAACATTGCGTCTGCTTTGTAAGTCGTTTTCGATAAAAACATTTGCTAAATGCATAAATGCTAAATGCTACATCTAGTAGGGCATAAGTACCTGCATTAGACCGTGAACAAGTCTAAATGTGGTTTAATGAGGAATCACAGCATTTATATATTTTAGTTCAGAGGTTGGATAGCTATACACTTGCGGAATATAAAGTTTATTAAAAGTAGACGGTTGATATAATCAAAATTAACATCTACAAATACTCATTGAATTGAGTAGAAAAAACAAAGAAACACTGAATTTCACGTCTTTCATCCAGGCAGAAGTCTGGCCAGCTAGTTTGAACCTTCATCCTCTTTAAAATAATCAGAATCTAGGAGTGGTGGTTGATTATCTTTACAGGAAATAGAGATGTCCAACCCCACTAAGCATTTATATACATTTCAATCTTTCCGACAAAGTACAGTAGACCCCTTAAAAGATTTAACAAGATTAAAAATTCCTCAAAACTTTATTCACTGCTCCTAAAGACGTCAACACACAAAGCTGCTTAGAAAGGGTTATTAAACCGAAGCCAAGCTAGCACTGCTGCCCCAGCTAATCGACTTGTTGATGGTAACCAAGGGAGACCAGGCGTGCAGTCAACATTGTGCATGCTCAAATGTTTTTTTAAGCTGTTTTATTTATTTATGTACAAAACAAACGAACCTCCTGTCCTCCAAAACAGGTATTCGGCTTTTCTTCCTTTTGCCCACTCTCCAATACAGCTCATTTAAACAGCTAACTCTGTCATCAGGTTCTGCAGAGGCCTGGGAATACACCATTAGTTTGATTAATGTAAGCTAAGCCAGTCAACATTTAAAATATGCAGGAGCCAGTCCTTTTGACTGACAACAGACATAATTACAGTAAAATTATATATTTAGCAGAGAAAATTATCAATATTGAAATGAGCAACCAAGACTTGGCTTTATGGCCTTCTGCTCCTCTGCTCACCTTAAATGCAGCTAGATCCTTTAATAATCCCACCCTGGATTGTATGAAAAGATAATGAGGAGTAAAAACTTGAGGAAAAATAGGTTGTGTATTGGTTTACTCAAAAGCATTCTTAGAAAGTATGGTGAAAACCATGACTCGGCAAGATAGGAGGAAAGATAATGATGGGAAATGCAGATTCTAGCAGTAGAATAGGATGTGGAGCTGCTTTCTTTGACTAGCAAACAGAAGCAGCTGTTGAGTCGTTTAAATACAATATAAAATTCTGCATCTAATTTAGCTCAATGCATCCAGCCTGAGCTCCACTTTAAATCTTCAGAACATCCATCAATTAATCCAGCCACTTATTGAGTTTACTTTAACTTCACAATCCAGAAACATCATAAATCAATTGGCCAATGCTTTCACCAACCTAAAGGTCAAAAAGCTTCCATCTTTAAATCCAGGATTTGGATATTTTCAGCAGAAAAATCCAAAATGTTAAACAAGAGATTCACCACTTGGGGGCAATATTGTTTAGCTAGACAACTCCACAAAAACCTTCTACATCCAGACAGTCTGAGGTCATCATGTGACAGCACATATGCTAGGCTCATCTTCATTAACCTTTCCTCTAATTTCAGTTCCATCTGTTTATAACAGCATGTGGGAAGCTGAGGATTGACACTGCTACCTGCCCCAGAGGTAGCAGAAAGTCCCTTTAAGGATCGTCTCAGTGATCACAGGCTACGTTGTGAGGTTTCTGCCTCCTTCAGCCATAGCCGCGGCGCCACACCAACCTCGTTTGGTTATGACAGGACAGTCATGGGTCTGTTCACAAGGTTTCCATAACTAGTTGTTCTACAGAGGTGCTGTGGAATAAGGCCTCTGCACAGCAGAAAGGGAATTTGATGTTGCAGAGATTTTATTTTTTTCCTCTCCAAAGGGAATTAAAAAATGAATGAGCTTGCAGGTGGCTTGATGTGGAACCACCATGATGTTTGGACTGGAAAAACATAATTGAGGCAAATTATGCTATGGATAGACTGACTTTTTCAGTAAGACTTGCCAATTATAAATACCATAAATACTGGAAGAAACTGAATATTCACAGGAGCTTGATATCAAATGTATAATAAATGTAATTGCCCCTTTTTTTATATTATTAAACTGCTCCTGTCAAACTATTTACTCTGTAATTTCTGTTAAAAGGGGGGTTTAACAGTTCAATGTATGTATGTGTATTTCTAAAACTATTAAATCAACAAAAATCAAGTATAAAAATATATATATATATATATATATGATTGAGCTGTGCCCCATCTCACAGCAATACACCCAAACTTCATAACATACATATTAAAACCTTTAAACTGTAGTCAGGCTGTGCCAAGTGTTTTTCATTTTAAACATACTATTGTTGTCTTTAAATTGGCATTAAAAACAATATTTCATCTATTTTCAACCACTTTTTACTGCTTCTGCACCCCATGCAGTCTAAATGCAATACGATTGCTATAGTAGTTGAGACAAAAAAAAAACATGAATGCAAAGCTAAAGAGAAGTTCTGAATTTTCATGAAGAAAACTAATTTTGAGAGCAATGAAAATACATGAAGCCACATAAACCGCTCACCTTAGCCTCTGGGCCACTGTTTACGCTGCGTGTCTCGTTTTCCTCTGTGGTCGGACGGTTCCTGAAATAAATAAATGAAGTTTAAAAAGGCATAATAGAGAAGATGGTTAATTAACATGGTTCCTACCTTTGGATTGAATTAACTATGTTAAGTATTTAAAACAGCTGAAACTGATTTGTTGGTTGACTGAATACGGCAGAATAGTAGATCAGCAGGGAAACACAGAGATAAATTTGGATTGCAACTGCAGGCTACTGATTAATATTCAAAGGATAGGTCTGATCCCTCTGTCACTGTTTACTATCTCTTCACCTCAGCTTGAGAGAAGCGTAGCGAAGCGTGGCCCCCTCAAACTCCTTCAGGCTGGGGTCAGGGTTCACCGTGGCCGCCTGCAGGTCCTGATGCACAGAAATAAAAATATCTTTAAGATAAGTTTTTGGTTTGACACATGCAATAATAAAGCTGCAACAATGTTCAGTTTCCCTATGGTATAAATTAAGTATTTTTTATTAAATTCTGAAATGAAATGAAGTAGTAAGATGAGATCCTAAGGGAATTCCAACGAAACCTAAAACAATTAAAAGCATTTCTCTCCTTTATGCCTCTAAATCTGATTCTACAAACTACTGATTTTTGCTTAAGCTTTAATAACAGTTTGAATCTGTTATATATCATTTCTACAAGTTGGATTTCTATATTTTTTAAAAGCAATGAACCAGCCAATTTGATACTTATAACCCATGGTTTACTCTACATGTCATTAGTCTAGGGGTTCACTGAAAGCCCAGTGTGCTGGGGGGCTAATGCATACCAACAATGTACAAAACGAATGCAAACATCTTGATTTTTCTCAGTATGTCACAGCATGCATCCACATGTGGCCAGAGGGGCCTTGCTAGATGAGGAAATGGCAGCGGTCAGCAGGACATGCTACATTGAGAGACAAACGGTAACAGGCATCACACACACACACACACATTTTCTGTGTGTAAAACACATTCACAGCTATGTAATTAGGATGGAAAGAAGCATTTTTATTAAGAAAAAAACAGTTAAAGGTGTTACTGCATCCAAATAAGACATTTTTATCAGTGCGGTGATATTTATGATGAAGCATCAGCCACACATGCTTCTGCTCAAGCAGTGACTCCGAGTGTATTAGATCCAAACATGGGAGGGGGGGTGAAATAAATGGGGAGCTAAGTCGCTGACATTTGAGTGCATAATACTTGCCTTCCACACTTCACTATCAATTTTTCCTCCAAATTCACTCCACATCTGCTTCTACATTCAACATTAAGACACAAACACAGATAGGGTTGGATCGACCAATAGAAGTCAAAGGAGCGGGTGGAGAACAGTTTACTGCAAGGTCTTATGATGCAGCAATAAGGAGCAACCTTTGAATATCAGACATCCTACTTTATAGGAAATGGTTCACTTTAAAAAATCTAAATCTGTAAAATCAAATGTAACTTTTTTATTAACTAGTTACTCATTGAAAAATTTGGATTAAACATATATTTCATATAAAAATTCAAATATATTCTGCAGATCTCAACGTAATGCGTTATGCTGTGAGATTTAGCCTCTTAAGATTTCTGTAGTTTTAAAAACAAAGAAAAGAAATACAACCGTTTTCAAAGCATGATTTAATTTATTTTATATGGGAGAAATTCAAACTGATGTGGCCCTATGTAAAACAAAGGAATTGGCAACAAATTCTGGCAGATCTGTAACATGAACAAATTCTTCAAAATCTGACAATACAATGCAGGCTCCTTGTAGAAATATAAAGCAGCCAAATCACATAATTTTGGGCTTGCACACCTCTCCACGTGGAAATTCTGTCCAAACGGACCACCTGGAAAACATGTAAATACTCGGACGGATTCGCATGGAAAACATGGTGAGTGAACAGCAGCTCCTGATGGCGAGGGTTCGCAAATGTAAACACCTAGAGACATCCCGTGATTTAGGTTCATTAATATCGTTACCAATCAACAGAATGTGGAAAATCTCCGGGAAGGAAATGACTGTGGCTCTCCGATGGCATGAAGAGGCTTTGATAAAAGAAACGGCTGTTTTCTACTATCTCCTGTAGCGTGCTGCTGTAAAGCTTGATGTCTGTGCAGCAACTTTTAAACAGAGCGTGCACAACGAGAAATGGGCTTGTGTATGCTTTTGCACGTGTTTAACAGGCGTTCCCTCTCTGGAGCGGGTATAGGATTGTGCATGTGCATTTTTTTTTTTAAAGGGCAGGTCTTTTCAAAAAAATTCGTGAAAATCCTCCACTATACCTTTAAGTCCCAAATAAGTCAAAAATGCATTGCTGTTCATATTTAGGCAAAGAAAAAAAAAAAAAATACACAAAAGACCAACTAATGCATAGGCCCAATTATCAAACCTGTTTCTCCACTGACTTTACATAAGGCATGAAATAAAGTGTAAGTTATTTGTTTTATGTCTCTATTAGAGACAAATTGTGAAAAACAATGATTAACTCACATGTACATTTTAAACGTTGCTTTATAGTTCATGAAATTTAACTGTTCCATTGTTGAGCTTAGCGGACTTGCAGTTTTTGTATAAATGTGAATGCTAGTGTCTGTAGTACTGAAAGCCTCCTCCAGGGGGCACAAGAAAAGTATATGACTTATAGTAGATAGAACCAACCTAGAAGTGCTCTTAGGAACACAACTATCAACTTGCTTTCATGGATAAAAAAAAAATAACTGAGAAACGACAAAAAAAATATTTTCTTTCTATTTAACACTTTATTTTTCTTCAGAAAATCTTAAAAATAATTGAAAAAAATAAAATAAATAAAGAATTCACCACTGATAATTAATAAAGTTTAGACATTTTTAAAGCTGAATAAACATACAATCGATATTAAAAAGTTACATTGAGTTTCTTTGGTTGCAACTGTTAGAATATCTACAGATATATTTAATGCTTTTATAAAAATCGAAAGAGGAAACTGATCCAATCCATTTCCCATTAAAGCAATAATTCAAATTCAGACAGATGTAAAAAAGGAATAAGCTGCATAATTTTCTCCCCAAATAATAGCAAGGAGAAAGGCCCTGGGGTCGAGTTTGAGTCTCCTACCTTATCTTCATCTTCATGATGTGGAGATTGACTTTCTTGATCTGAGGTCTCCTGAAGAGAAGTGGATCGAGGCTACAGAGGGAAAGAAAGAGTTCAATCAAACTGAAGAACAGGCTAAAAATGCATCACTGTTTGATCCAGCTTTTGTGTCAGCGCCAAAGACACCAGCAGTGTGGAGGACACATGGAGAAGATTGATAAGCAAGAATCTCATTTGGCCAGATCCATCCATCAACATCAGCCCATTCACGATGGATCAATATTTTATCTAGACATTGCTGCTCTGCATCAGTCTTCTTTCCTCTCTTCACTTTATTCCATCATTCAGCATGACTGACCGACTGATTGTTGTAGCACAGCCTTGTTCTGCAGCTGGCCTGGAGAGACGCTTATAGATTCTCTGTCCGTCTCAATAAAGAATAGAAAAAAAGGCAACATATACATACATAAATATATATGCATGTATGTTTGTGTGCGTAGATTGCCTCCCTTACTCTGATACCCCAAAACAATGTCTAGTGTGACCAACTGCCCTCAGGAGTCACCCAAATAGTGATAGGAGTACAGTAGGGATAAATGATAAAATTGACAATAAAAACACTCTTCATTAATTCTTTATAGCCGCGCTTAGGTAATTATAGGTCTGTGACTGCATGTCACAGAGGCCCACAATGCAAACACTGCTCTTGAATAAATACACTAATTTTAAAAAGCTTTCATCAGGTTACATAAGAGAGATTCATATCACTTAACATTGCTTAGCAACCAGAATTAATCATATTCTTTCAATTTGAAAATGAAAGAAGAATGTTAAAAAATAAAATTCTAAATTACACATTAGTTTAGTTTATCATCACTAATTCTAACTTATTATTAAATAAGACGATAAAGCGAAATTGTTATCATGACTAGAAACCAATCTTGATAACGATAAACCTCTAATAAATTCCACTCCTAGAGTAAATTAGGGCTGAACGATTTTGACAATAAAGAAAATTGCGATTATTTTAAACCAATAATGGGATTGTTTTTTTTTTTTTGCATGAAAATGTTTTTAATAAAGGGTTTAGGATTTTTCATTACCTTGGAAGCTTGCTTGTCCGAAGTCCAATTTTAGCAGGACTTTACTGTTACATTTGTGCAAAAAGGCGCAAACTTCTTCTTGCGGCATGAATCTGTGAGCTAGTTGCATCTCTCTCTTCTCTTCTGTGTGGTTGCAAACCTACTCTGAACATATTACCACCAACTAAAGCGCAGACATAAGAAATTTAGCTACTGAATTAAGTTTACTTAAATGTAATATGACCAAAATTGAGTGCATCTAGGATTTTAAAATTGCATTTTGTTAAATTGCGACTTTATTGCAAATGCAATTAATAGCATCGCCCTAAGGTGAATGTACGTTTAGTTTAATCTTAGTGCAAATAAAGCTATGATGAACAAAAACCCAAAAGAGCTAAAAGACTCAACAGGTATTAGTCATGCACTCCATAAACCAAACTCATAGGAACAATCATCAAGAGGAAAGCCACTGTTTTTACCACTTTGAGTTAATTCTTCAGCTTTTTTTATCTGACGACCATGTGATTTATAATGAAAGTTAGCATAAATGCATAAATCAAGCACCAATGACCCATTCCGAACTTAGTCCCGCCCACAACGTTTGAGGTCGGGAAGTTCGGTCTGGCATTGCTCAATAGTAGCGCGAGTATGCTCGCACAGTATCTGGCGGGCCAATCAAATTGTCAGGGCAGGCTTTATACGATGATGGACAGATGATCAACAGTAACATAATCAACCTAGTGACCAAAGGGCGCTTGGGTGACAACAACAATGGCTGCTGCTGGAGAGTTGAGGTGAGTAGATTCTGCTATTAGGTCTGTTCTAGAAGATATCGACAGCAAATTAATTTTAAAAGAGGAACAGAGAAACGCGATCAAGGCTCATCTTCTTATTCTAGGCGTGAAACTGCACGCTTTGATTTTTGTGGACAACAACTATGCCTCGCTTAACATACGTCACGCACTCCGTTGCTCTTATTGGTTGTAGGTCTATCCAATTGAGTGCAGAGGGATTTTTTTTCCTGGTTCGTTCGAAACACGCCCCATAATCACAGCTCTATGGAGCAGTATCAGACTCATATTCTGACTAGAATTGAGAAGGACTACGTCAGCCTACCAATGACCTCCGTTTTAAGCCTTTTTTTTTGCCCTCCTTTTTTAATATCAAACTAAATCAGACCCATTGACAGAGCCTTCAGGAAGTCCTGTTTGCATTTTTTTTCCACAAGAAATGTGAGGCATGTGGAAGAAGTAACTTGAGTGAAGAAAGAAGAAAACAAAATGTTTTGTTCTACATACAAAACAGTGTTTGTTATATTTGTTATATAATAAGTAGCTCTGCCCATAACCAACCCCAGAGTAAAACACGTTGGTGGAACCATTATAGAGGATGGGGGGCTTTTTATCTTTAAAGTCATTTATATTCAATTTTTATGTTAAAACAAGTGTTCTAAACTCCTGAATGAGAGGAAGCAGAACTTTGAATAATCTTATGTTTTCTTCTCACTTTACTTAAATCAATACATTTAGACAAAAGCATCAAAATATACATAACAGAAAAAAATAATAAAATGAAACATCCTTTTCTACTGAGAACCTGAGGCAAAATATGATAAATAATGTTCTCCATCTAATCTGACTGATCTTAAGCTGTTTTGTATGCATCTATAATGTTTTGGCAAGGCGCTGTGTATAAACAGCAACATTCATTCAAATCACACACTGTGACAGTTATTTATGATAAGGAAACATTTGATCAAAGACCCAACCATGGTGAAAGAAATAGGAGAATATGTCAATACTCACAAAGTAGCAGCTGTTGACAAATCCGCATGAGGGGAGGGTGGAGTCTTGAGTGGACAGAGGCTCCACCGAGCTGTCAGAGGTGGTGCTTCCTGAACGAGTCGAACCCCTAAAGAAGATCTCAGCCTGGCACAACTACATCCATGCATGCACACAGAAAAAGAAAAAACTTAAAAAAAAAAAAATAAATATATCACATCACAGGGATTTGTTACTCTTTCTGCATTAAAACATCTTGTTGTGTTTTGGTAAAATTTAAAAATGTATTTCTCTTCTTTAGAAAAGCAGCTGGTTTGTCATCGATATCAGAGCCTTTTTGGTCCCAAATTTGGAGAACTTTTTAAAATCATCCAAAATATGGATTCATTACCAGACTATGCACATTTTGTTTTGAAAAAAAATTCTCTTAAAACTGACTGGACTTGAACATCATACCTAATTGTCAAATGTTATTAATGGTGAAAAGCATAGCAACAAAAATTCTAAGTTCAGCATTGAAGCTTTAGCTTATTGTCTCTCTCTAACCTCATTTTCTGGAGTGGGCAGCGGGCTCAGGGAGCCCAGCGAGTGTTTACGTGGAGCGGGGGCTGTGGGATCAGCCAGGGCCGGGGTCTCAGTCTGTCCAGGTGGAGGTGGATGGTTGGAGGGCCGCTCCCACTGGGTGGTGCCTGTAGGGATGTGCCAGTAGTAGATACCAGCCATGTCTGTGATCTTCTTCCATCCTGGTGGCAGGTCTGGATCAGTCTGGAATGACTGTTCACTCCAGACATCTATGTGGAAATGAAAACATAAAAACAAAATGTGGGGATTCTTTAAACGTTTT